CACACCTGAAAAGATCAACCACCTCATGTGACTTCCCATTCCACTGCCTACCAGACAAAAACCAAACTCCAAAATTCAAGGTTCTTTATTATGTGGCCTCTCCCTGGTTCACAAGTATATACTACACGTATTTTAGGTCAGTTCTAAAACATCATAAAAACAAAAATTTGAGAAAAGCTCACTCAAAATCTCCCCTTTGGTTAAAAAAAAAAGTCACTTTTTTTCATTTAATAAGCTTCCCCCCTTCAATGCCTTCCATCTGCAAATAGGTAACAATGAAATTGTATAAATACAGAACTTTTTGTCTTACTCCTGTCATTTGTTTAGGAAACACTTTTTTCCTATTTCTGTGTTAACTTGTTTTGTAATAGTTAGATTGACCAGCTTTCTGACCAGCACACTGATCAAGGTCTCCACTAGATCCTCTGGCATCTTTGTGTGAAGTAGAAAAAGGCACTTCTTCTGAGAAGGATTTGCGAAAGCCCCTCCTGCAGGGTACAACCCCCATAAAGACACGTGGACAGCAGACTCTTTCTGAAGGAGAAGAAAATCATCCTGTGCAGGATGACATGGTTTGGAAGTTGGAGTCAGGCCAGCTCACTTCACACCCTACCTCCTATACTCACTGTTTGATCCCAGGCAAGCTGCTTAACCACTAGAGACCTCGGTTTCTTTGCAGGAATAACAGTCGTCATATCTCATAAAACCACTGTGAGCGGGAAATCACTGAAGGCCCTCAGAACGGTGCCTGGCACACAGTAGACACTCAATGTTTTCCTCCCCAATAAAAATTATATCAGTGTTATCGACATCTCTGTGCCTATTTTTAAGATTTTATTTATTTGACAGAGAGAGAGACAGCGAGAGAGGGAACACAGGCAGGGGGAGTGGGAGAGGGAGAAGCAGGCTTCCCGCGGAGCAGGGAGCCCAACACAGGGCTTGATCCCAGGACCCTGAGCCGAAGGCAGACACTTAACGACTGAGCCACCCAGGCTCTCCTCTGTGCCTATTTTTAAATTACTTTAAAAAAATTAGTCCCATGGGGTGGGGGGGGCGGGGATGCTTATCAACAAGGATCTAAATTTGAACTCTTCATCTCTTCATGTAAATTCACTAAAGAGAGAGGTGGTCAATAGAATGATGACTATTCAGGAAATGTCATTCCTTTAAGATAATAATCTCAAGAAAAACAATGAAATTTGTTCTGGGGGATCTCAAGAATAAATACTTATAGAAGTTAACATCTTAGAGGAAATGTGGGTGTTGGTTTCCTCACCACACTGGGAAGGGTCAATCGGGGTGACCCACAAGGCCTTTCCAGCTTTGGATGTATATGACCCAATCTCGCCATTTAAATCACCCTCTACCCCATCACAAAGCTTCTGCTCCAGAAAGGACAGGTTCTTCCCTCTTTCCCAAACATGCCTGACCTTTGATGTAAGCTTTTGCTCATCTCATGCTTCTTCACTTTACTTCCACCAGAAGCACTTTCCTCACCCCGAACATCAACTCTGGCATCACCCAAAGTCCCATTTAAAATCTGACCCCTTCTTCCAGGCTCTCAGTGCTCCACAGATTTCTTTAAAAACTCAAAACATTTATTTATTGTCTATGTCACTCCTTATTTAAGTCTAATGGCATGAAGTAATCATTCTTAAAAATTAAAAATTACTTTCTCTTATATCTGAATACAACCTTTGTCTTCAAAAACCTAGCATGGACACATGTGCATTTACAGCATCATTTATTTTAGTTACCTATAGCCATGTTAACAGAAATCTTTACTGAAGGGGCACAAGACTCTAAGCTTACAAGACCACACAATTCCGGTCTCTGCTGCATCAATATCAACATTTTTACCACTGACCAAGCTGACAAATTCATGTAATACAGCATTTGATAGCTGATATAACTGAAGGTGAACGTCATGTTCTAAAATTTTTACTAATCCATTTTAAATAGTTAAAAAATAAAGTCTGAATAGAAAGAGGAGAGTGTGCGTCAACATCACAATTTTCTTTAAAAACGGTGTTTTTCTTTAATCAAGCCCCATTTATAAAGTGTTTTAAATTTCTTGAAATCTCATTTCCCCTTCCAAGTTTAACTAACACTTTTTGCCAAGTGATAGAGGATAAGATAACTCAATCTACATTATCATCTGGGGATTAAGACAAGGAACTAAAATCTACATTTGAATAAAGACATATTCCCATCAAACAAAGCTACCAGAATAAGCTACAGAACATGAATACCCTTCTATGCTTTCCCAAAAAATTGCAACATGAATACAATACACCTTACAGGGTCAAATTCTTAAATTGAGGAATCATAATATGATAACAAGAGTGCATCAAAGTTTAAAAGGCAGTGGGCTTCATTCCAGTACAGGGTGATGGAAAGCCATGAGGTTATCATATTATAACATGGGGAGCAGTCGCTATACCCTGCCACCATGCACGACGAGCTCTCGTGGGCGTCATGTTCACCAGTGACTTACGAGATGTTCCAGTTTGAAGCCTCATCATCAGTGTGTAAACTGAAGCTGCTCCAGAGGCAACAGGGAGAGAAGCAGCTCTGGTGGCATTTGAACTGAAGATACTCAGGCAGAGAAACCCATCTGGTGGTGGTGTAAGGAATGAATGGAACCGGAGGAAGAGGAGACAGTAGGATGAGAAAGGACAAAGTAGAGGAGGCGAAGACAATCAGAAAGGAGATGGCAGAATGGAAAAGAAGGACAATGAAATGAAAGCCAAAAAGTGAAGGAAGTGTGGGGAACAGAGAAAGAAAAGGGGAGAGGAGGAGGAGGAAGAAGAGAAAAAAAATGTAAACAATCTTTGGGTATATGAACAGCAACATGTACCATATGCCTGTACTTCTGATTGCTGTTTGTTTGTTTGTTTAAGTCACAGATGCTATCAAATGACCAAATACAGAATTAGAATCCAGGCACAAATCCACGAACCACAAGAACTGGAATATCATTGATATACATTGTTTAAAAACAAAAACAAAAGTCTAAGCTTCAGGTCAGTAAGGGGGCATGAAAGTTATTGCCACATTGATTTTCTTCAGTTACTAGAACCCATGAAGGAAGAGTCAAAGGAAACTGTTCAAACGTGAGACAGAAGAATGGGATGTTGGTTTCTTAGTTGGTCATCTTCTAGCACATCTGCCAACCAAAAAGGTCAGATACTTGCTGAGTTTCTCAGAAGAGCATTTCCATCATGTCTATCTTTACACACTTTGGGTCTATTTTTCCAATTTGAAATGAATTCTAGCAAGTTCTACCTTGAGCCAACAGTCAAGCAAGTCAGGCTAGACACGGATGTCCCTGTACTATGCCTTCTAGAGTGCAGGACTACAGTTCTCCTCAAATCAAAGATATTCCCATATTTTATTGACTCTTCCACAAACAATGTGCTCTCAATGAACAGTCTTCGATAATTCAAAGTTAGGCCTAACGAATTAGTAATCAGAAAAATGAATCCTTATTGAGGTGGTAGCTGGCCAATAGGTGATACATTCCAGGTAAGAAATGATAAAAAAGCAAATTAAAATGTGCTTTGTAATTAAATTCCTTACATATAATTGTATCTATACTAATGGTAAGAATTTCCATTTCACATACAAAGGTCATTAAGGGAATTCTTCACACACGACTAGCCTTTCTTCAACTTCTAAATCAGCCTTGTCCACATGTAAAGTTGATGCAGTCTAGCTAGTTATAGAGCTCTTGGTCTATTGCAAATACCACGAGACGGACTGAAACACTGCTCTTCATTATTATTAAACCATTCAAAACCCATTAATATTTTTGGCATTTCCAAACATGGAAAATCTGAATGGTTGATTGGAAGCATCATATTCAAATATCAAACCCTTCAGCAAAACTGAACTTCATTATCAAGATATTAACTTCCTTTGACCAAAACCCAAGTCAAAGGGACAAGAGGTAATTAAAAGACTAATAATATGAAAAGTCTGCAAGCCACACTTTCACTGATTTACAACTTGACACATGGACCCTACTACCAATGACCCAATACCTATGGGAATCTTCAACACTGACAGGAACAACATCCACTTGCCAGATCAAGCCTGAAGTAAGTGACATAAATTTTTCTAGCTACAAAGAATAAGCAACAGTGGGGAAGGGGGGATAATTAATAAAATGTTTATTCAACTATTTATGAACTTGCTCTGGATGTCATCTCTATGTTGACAGGCAGGAGTTCTGATTTACCCATCCATGTATCTTAACTCTAAGTACAGTGCCTGGCAAATTATGGAAGCTCAAAAATATTTTTCAGTGAATGAATGACTGTAGGTATGAGTGAATAAACAATCTCAGTGATATTATACCCATTAGTCGTACAGGCGCTCAGCACCCATCCTTCCTTAGCATGGTGGCATTTCAGCCATGAAAGACTAGAGAAGAAGCTTTAGGAGGAAACAAAAGGTTGACAACTGAGCACACTTAACCAAAGGAACACTGCCCAAAAGCATTTAATTAATAAAAATGATGACTACAGCATTTTGCACCTCTAAGAACACGTCCCACAGAACACACGCCTGAGCTACCACTGGAAGAAGGGAGGGGAGAAGCGTATGAAGAGTCAACAAGGAATCCCTGAGATCCTCAGATCTCAAGAGGTACTGCCTCTACCCAGAAAACAGAGCCAATCACGAAGTCAGCATCTCCCTGGTTTCAAAAACTTGTCTATGGAGCCTGGTGCGCTCTATCATTCGGCAGCAGAATTCTCTCTCTGCACCGAATGAAGGGCTGGTGTTTCCCAAAAACTATTTAAAGCTGTAGAGTATTGCCCAAGAGATGATCCCATGAACTGCCGAAGAAACTTTCCATTTGCATCCTTGCAGATGCAAGGGCTGTGTGGAAAGATACAGCACTGCGTAGCCCAGGATCATCAACAGAAGCGAGGCACTCTGCGGTCCCAGCGTCGCCTACCGAACGCGCCTCCCTCCTGGTTCCCGGAACTCACCGCAGCGCAGAATGTCTTCCCGAGCGGGACACGCTGTTGCCCACGGGGGAGGGCAGGTTGCTCCCTCTGTGCAGATCCTCGATGGACCTACTCCAGGGCTTTGATTTGTCCACCGAGCTCTCCACAGTGCTTTCCACGCTTTCGAAATCAAAACTAAAACAAAAGAGAAATGCCACTGAAGACTTAAAAGTGGACAGTCACACAAATACATGGATGTGCCTAACTGGCTCCTTCCTATGATGCATCCACGCCCGATAATGGGCAGTCCTTGCAAACAAAGAAAACCAAAAAGGCAATGCAAAAAGAATTTCCACGGACTCAGAGTTAGCTTCGAAAATCCAAAATGACAAATACTGGGCAAGGCAAAAGAAGAGTCGAACTACAAGGAAAAAATAAATAGTACTGTATTATTTGTATTTTACTACAAGGCTTACTAACTTACCAATGGCTAACACTGCTATGGTGAAAGGGGAAGGACAGATCTTACAGCTGTCTTCATTTTGCTTTAAGAAGTCAATATGTAGGCTTATACTAATTTATTCCTACCCATCAATTTTCACTGAGCATTTTCTCCTAGTGTGTTGGCAAGTGTACTTTTCCAACCATATGTGATACATTACTTGCAAAGTTATGGATTTGCTTTGATTTTGGAATCTCTTCCCAATGTGGTGCTCTTTAAAGCAGGACTGGTGTTTCTCTGACATTTTTTGAGGTTATTACTCATGTTGACCATGTTAGAATAAATGGTAAGTTAAGTTGCTCACTCTTGTATAATTTTAGGAACAAAATTTTTAAACAGCCAGGCCTTTGTGTTCTATGCATTTTCCCCTCCCAAAGACAGGAGCTCTGCCTTCTCAAAAAAAAAAAAAATATATATATATATATATTTTATCAATTGTTTCTACCTCAGTTCCACCCAGCAACACCTGATCAGACAGAGAATAAACAGAAGGCAGCTATAATTAATACCAGATGGAAAATCTGGGCAGCTATCTCAGAAAAGACAGTAACAATACATATTGGCAATAACAAGAATGATTCTTTATAAGGGTACCATCGCCAAAATAAAATATTTTGTTAGAACCGTCATCTGTAAACTAGGCGATGCTGTCTCTATTAAATACTAATCCAGGCGGCAGCCACTGAGGATTATCAGTGAATGCATCTGGCAATTTTGTGACGCCTTTGGATGCAGGAAGCAGAGCTGAATAGGAAAGAGGTGGGATTGAGTAATCAAATCCTTAAACACTAAAAATAGAAGCCTACAACTGATATTGGAGAAGGTAAACCGAGGGGGCACCCCAAAATCACCCATGTCATCAACATTCTCGCCAAGTCACTCTGTAGTCCCCCACGCCGTTCTGCTGTCCCACAGGCTTATGCTCCTCTCAGGTCGCCCACCTCATGGAGCAGAAGAAGGAAATGCACACGTTGGTGAAGCATCCTGTTTTAGGAACGGAGCATGAGCTAGTTGGTGCACATTACCAGGGCTAGGACAGTAAGAAATTTTTCAGCCCATTAGTCTCAAGAAAGAACATAAATTATGTCTCTATATATAATTTGCTAAATTAAACAACACAAAACCCAAACTAATCAGCAGAGAATATAAAAGTAATGCCAAAAAAAGTAGAGAAGGAAACCAAAGCTCTGAGTTCTGATCTGCTGGGTTTGATCTTACACTGCACCTAGAATTCCCTAATGGTAGCACTGCCCTTTCCCATTGGTCTGAGGTGAGGGTACGTCTGGGAAAACTGGGTGCATAAGCTCTACTGTGATGTAGGTAAAAGGTTAATTACAGCCAACATGTAATACATAGCATGCCATCCTTTTCCATTACAAATGAAGTCTCTTAGCTCTTCCTTAATTCCATAACTTTTCCTCCAGATTTTAAACTGTGCAGCAGGGTAATATTATCGTGTTTTGGCATATAATATTAAGTGTAAGAGAGCTTAGCAGTTTTTGACACAATGGACACAGATAAGAAACAACCTTTGGAAGAATATGCTATAAAAACTAGGACTATATTTCAGAGGACAATTTCTTAGAAAGATAAGAACTTGTCTATCGGTGTTTCTTACTCTACTCCGTATCATATACAGGAGATCTCAAACCTGAAACTGAACAAGTCAGTTTCAGTTTATACTGTAATTCTTGCATCCACTAAAAAGGAGTAATTACAGCTTCCTCCTCATGAATTCTCAAGGAAGTGCCGAGGATTATAACATCTGGTTAAGTCTTAGAACTTCTTTGGAGTGATGCAATATGAAAAACAAGTTACTGCTTTTAAAAGAAGCATTGAGGGGAGAAAAAAACACCACCTGGGCCCAAATGTCTTCCGGTCAAATTAAAAATACAGTATTACTTCCTCAGTCTGTGTGTGTGTGTGTGTGTGTGTGTGTGTGTGTGTGTGTGTGAGAGAGAGAGAGAGAGAGAGAGAGAGAGAGAGAGAGACAGAGACAGAGACAATCTGTGGATACTGCAATTTTCTTTGACTAAAGAAGGAAATTTCTGTTGTAAATCATTCCAGAAGCCTAGCAAATGGGAAAATTTTATGAATTAACAAAAAACAAGGCTAAGTAAATTGATTTTCTTTCCTGCTCTGCTGCAATTTTTCCCCTTCACCTTATGAAGGGGAAGTCAAAACAATACAAATATATATAAAGTAGAAAAAGGAAAGCCTCTTGTTTACTCTTTCTTCTAATCCCACTTGATTTGGTTTATCTGCAATCATTTTCTCTGCATTTACTAGCACATACAAATATACACATACATATACATATATATAATTTTTTTTAACAAAAAAGTTATTTTCTGTGTCTTGTTTTATTCACTCAAAAATATAGCATACTACACCTCTTTCAATGACTGCCAGGGTATTCTACCATATGGATATATGTAACCTGAGCACTAAAGAAAGCACTTTTTAAAATAAGGACTCGACTCTAAGGGTGATTTTTACTCCCCTGTTTTATTTCTGCCTTAAAAACATTTCTAATAATGATTATGTGATTTGCTTTTAGTTACTTGAGTAGAAACAAGCCTCCTTAAACCATACCACATCTGCTTCTGGGTTTCTCCCCTCAGTGCAGTATATAATTCTGCCACTCTCTTCCATCTTCTATGACCACATGAAATTCAAAAGCCAACAAGCCAAGTTTTACTTACGTGACCGCGTACTGCGCAAACGATAGATATTCCACTAGAACATCAAGACCTCTGTTTTCTTCGTTCAGAAACTCTCTGACCCATCTGTTAAAAAATAAACACATTACAGAGGTTCATCACACACTCTGCCATGAGAGAGCCCACTGAACACTGTTACTGTTCTGCCAGAAACATTCACCAAAAGGAGTAATGGAGGAATGCCCAGACTCCATCACACCTAGTAGGAACTTCTCCATAGAGCAACTAAGAAAACCACAGCATTTTGGGGCACCTGGGTGGTGTAGTCGGTTAAGCGTCTGACTCTTGGTTTCAGCTCAGGTCATGATCTCAGGGTCCTGGGATGGAGCCCCGGGACAGGCTCTGCACTCAGCGGAGAGTCTGCTCCAAGACTCACTCTCCCTCTGCTCCCTCCAACCCCCACACACTCTCTCCCTAAAATAAATCAATCTTTCAAAAAAAAAAAACAACCACAGAATTTCAACGTGCAAGAAGAGGGGGCAAAAGGTATACATGCGCTTCCCTTGCATTTTACTACTTAGGAGACTTAAGATAACGTGTAAGAAGTATTCTAAAAAAGGAACTTGCTAAATGTACATTTTCCACCACAACTGACCCACAGCCTGTTAAAGGAGCCAAGACTGCACAGGGAATGCGGCAGGCACGGGACGTGACGACCTACGCAGTGAAATCCAGGCGTGATTCCAAATCCATATTCAACTCCTTCTTGGCACACTAAGCCACAGAAAACACTCAACTAGCCAATGAGAAACCAGTGTTTAGGGGCTCCTGGAAATTCAATAGGGATAATGCTTTGCTTAATTTTTTCCATGAATGTTAAAACCTCTTGAAAACTTGCAGGCACCACATAACATTGGCAAAGCCAAGACATGACATATCATGTTTTTTTTTTAATTCATTTTAAATAGTATCACCTTGCCTTTGAATGGTGGGTATGAATGCAGTTCACTGAGAATTTTTACTGGTTTTCATTTGCACTTCATAATAACTCCTAAAGATGAAGCAGAGTGGTCAAACCAAACCTTCAGGTATTGAAGATAAACACCTGTTAGCCCCCATTACAGATTTCCTCCAGGGCATTCCTCTTCAAAGAATGTATGATACCTGATTAAACCTTCTCTAGGTTTGAAAACTTCAATAAATAGTAAGTCAAAAGGTCTGCTACCATCACAGAAATGGAATTTGAGGTATATCCACCAAATGCATTCCAAAACTGGTTGCTTTCCTCCATAAGCACCAAGAAAAAAAAAATAGGCTGATAGCTACTGTGGAAGCCGGTTTTGTAAACTATTAGAACAACACAATCGAATTTTAACTTTAAGGCTGAGCAACCCCTCAAAATCTTTGTCTTAAAGGGAGAAAAAAATCTAGTGGACTCAGGATGCCTGTTTTAAAATTCTTTTGGGGGCTCTTTCTCCTTTGTTTTTGTTTGTTCGTTTGTTTTACCCTCAAGCTCATTCTTTCTTGTGGTTCTATCATCTCCATGATGCAAACTCAGGCTTGCAGGTAATCCCAGGGGCAGCAAACCAGGAAAAGCAGACAGCTTATCTCTTTATTTTCCCCCACGTGCCTCAGGCAGGCTATCACAAAATGTAGGCACCCAACACAGCCACAGGGAAGCAAATAAACTTTAATTTAAAAGAGACCTAGAGTGGCAAGTGAAAGAACCACCTGTTGGGCCTCGCAAGAGCTGGTCACCGGTCCCACTGAAACTTCCCCTCCAGACCACCACATACACCAGCTCCCGGCATCTGCCCCAGGATACTTTCAGCTGATTAATTTTAATTATTCTCCCTATACCACTAGATCTCAGGAGGCATGGGAGATTTTTAAGTGCTAATAACTAGAAGCCCAGAAAGAGTAAAATGAATGAATCAATGAATGAATGAATGAATTTTCTTTTTATAACTGGTAGGAGACCAAAGAAAGGCTGGCACTCACTATGAAAATGCATGGACTAGCTGCTCTTGAAACTCAAGCCTCTTACGCCTTCTCTAAGGCTTCTCCGTGGGTCTGGCCCGTGGGCTCTGGCCGCACCACTGAAAGTGGCCCTCAGTGGCAGATGTGCAGCAGGCCTCCCCGGGGCTGGGCGCGGAGGTATTCATTTTAGAATGCAAAGACACCCTCCGCTCCAGAGTCTTCAGAGCCGTCTCAGTTCTACGTTTTCTATCCCAGTGGCTCATAAAAACACTCCTGTAGGAGCTGAGAAGCACCACCATTGTAATGCCTTCCGGGTTGACTTCCCAGACACACAGCCTCTAAACAGTAGAAATGTCCGGGACACCCCGTGGACCTGCCATTTAACCACCACCGCCTCCAACTCAGGGAGTTTAACCACAAAGTAGATAAGGAGGCAAATGACTCACAGATAAGAAAATCAAAAAAAAAAAAAAAAGGAAGGGGGAGCAGGAAGTGCCAAGTACATCTAGAGGCACAATTCCCTTGACTCAAAATGCTAATGTGCATATATTTTGATTCAGGGATAAAGACTATCATTAGCTTCTCTTTCTTCGGCTCAGTGCCCTCATAGGCTCTTCCACCCTCACTTGCTGCCTTTGAGCTTAAGTGCCTTAAACACAACTTTCAAAGGGCAGGAACAAGCCACATGGTCCCTAACAAGACGGCTGGAGTGTGACATGTCCTGCCTCTGAGAAGTTTGATTTCACACAGCTAACCCTCTTTTTCTAAGCCCCGAGATGCTCCCTGGGTCTTTGATCTGGCCCAGACACCCCTAGGTGATTTAGGAAAGAGTAAGACAAAAACCCACCATGGTTGACCACTTTATCCCCTCTGTCAAATGACACCAGGTTAGCATAGTCATTGCAGCAAAAAGTCTACGGGTTTACAGGGAAAACAAAGCCTTCACATTCCCCCCCACCCCATCCCCTCAATCCCTGTCCCCACCACACTTGGGATATTCTGTGTGGGAGAGAACAGAGGTGAGAGTCAACTTGCGGGGAAAGGAAACCAATATAGACAGAAAATGGGTGAAGACGAAAAAAGGGCAACTTTCAAAGCTGTATCTTTAAAGGCATTAAAAAAATGGATGTCCCATTATGCAGATTTATGCAGGTGATCATGCAATGACATATCATAAATTTAGGGTTCCTCTAGTAAATTATTTCCATTTTTCACTTCTGTGCATGCTACACACACTTTTTTACATATTGCCAATACACACACCGTTTCAAATTGGATGATGATAGGTTTTGGGAACTAGAATTATTTCTGATTCCAACAGCATGCATCACTTACTGAGTACCCCATAGATTCAGAGTAATTACCATATGTTGTAAATTTGAATTAGGCAAATTCCAAATCAGCTGCTCAGGAGCTGGAAGAAACCACGATAATGAAAAATAGCTCTGGAAAAAAACTCTTATTCAAGGAAGGGATCTAAGTGCAGACACAAAAGGCACTGTTCTATTGTAGACAGGTCAAAGCTGTTTCAGAACTGCTGGTTTCTCTCTCCCCCCCCCACACCCACCGCCAATTTTAGAATCTCACTGTTCTGATCTAGAAAATGAAGTCTCAAGGGACCTTTCTGGCTCCAAATTTCTAAGATCAAACAAAGCAGACCCAAGATCACAAGATAAAGGAACAAGGGGTGAACTCCCTTTCTCTGTCTCCTTAGAGAGGTGCTTCTAACACAGGGTGGAAACCGCAGTTGCTGAAAAATCATGAAAAGAAAATCTCAAGAAGCAAGAGAAAGAAGGTAAGCATCCCCCAGATTCAGCGTCAACTACCAAATCTATTCTGCAAGACAGCATCACAAGATGGTTCTCAGTGCAGCTCACACATCAGCAGGGGGCCCTGAGACCCTCTGAGGGGTTTGTGAAGCTACGATTTTCATAAAATATTAAGATAGTGGCTTTTCACGGTGCTGTCACCTACACAGATAGTACAAAAGGAATGGTGGATAAAACTGCAGCTGACGAAAACTACACCTCTTCACTGTGTTCTCACCCCAAGCACTTGGAAGGCAAACAAAAAGTCAGCTTCACTTGAAACCGTCCTTAATGAAGCAATGAAAATTATGGATTTTTATTAACGCCTGTCCCTTGAGTTTACATCTTTTAAATTTTCTATGTGACAAAATGGAAAGCCCAAATACAGCACTTCTGCTGCCTACCCTAGTACCACAGTTGTCTCCAGGAAGAGCACCTGTGTAGTTGTTTGAGTCACAGACTGAACGAGTTTTTTGGTTTTTTGGGTTTTTTTTTTTTGGTTTGTATGTTTTTTGTTTTTTGTTTTTTTACATATGAAATGGAAAATGACTAACAACTGTGGTTATTCTGTTTGGGTGTTTGGCAGACATTTTCTCAAAAGTGAATGAAGTGAGCCTGTCGTTTCAAGGAAAACAACTGACAGTATTTGTTGTCCATGATAAAATTTGAGGTTTCAACCAAAAAAAATGAAAATTTTGGAACACTTGTTTTGACCACAAGCTTGACAACTTCCCAATACTTAAAGTATATTCAGATGAGACTGGTAATTAATAATGAATGCAACTGTTTTTATATTGTAGAATAAAATGTCTCAGTTTTTGAAAGATCAGAATAATTCAGTGAAACAGTATTTTCCAAATGACCAATTCATGATGTTACCCAAAATTACGCCTGGGTAGAAAGACCTATTCAATTTTCAAAACAGCACAGTGAGTTTTAGTTTAACAAAGTACAAAAGCTCACTGATGGCATTTCAGGTTCTACACTGCAAGTAACTCTAAGAAATTACCACTCCTTGAAGGATGGTGTACTATCAAAGAAGAATATCCACAACAATCTGAAAAGGTTACTTAAAAACTACTTTTTTCAAGTGATGTATGTATGTAAGGCCAGCCTTTCTTCATATACATCTTCACACACATACACAACATATTACAACAAATCAAATGCAGACAAAGAAATCAGAATCCATCTGCCTTCTATTAACCAGACATTAAAGAGATTTGTAAAAATGCCCCTCTTGTCACTAATTTTTCCTTCTTGCTTTGGAAAATATTTTTCACAAAATATGATGTCTGTGCTATGTTTATTATTTTGTATTTATGTATTTACATTATTTACTTTAAAATAAATACTAAAATTTATTGAATAAGGAAAGTTAACATTTATCAGTTTAAATTTCCAATATGGTAAATATTAAGAGAAAAAAACCCACATAAACAAAAGCATATTAAGGGTTCAAAATAATTTGAGAGTAAAGGAGTCCTGAAATCAAAAAGATTTAGTAACTTCCAGTTTAGATAACATCTGAACAATCTCAGTGCTTCTCAGTTATGTGGAGTGGAGGGAGATAATTAATAGGTGATTTAAGTTTCCTCATCTATAAAACAGGGGCTCAGAGGCAAAGGCCAATAATAAAAAGATTTTTGTAAAAAATAACACACTGAACATGTTTAATAAATGATAAAATTGTAATCTTGAGGATTTCTAAGAATCAACATCTAAAAATGAATTAATCATAGGGTAGCTTGATACACACATACCCCAAACATGTTGTACACCTGTTAAAACCAGCCTTACTCTTCTCTTATTTTTTGGCCTGGCGCAGCCAGCACCAGGTCACTGAGATACCGGGAAATGCAGGAGGGAAGACAGATCTTCACTGAGAATTTCCGGGATCCTTCCCCTTTGTACAAACCTTGTCCCTGCCAAGGGACAAGGCACATTCCTCCCACAACCTCAGGCCCATTCTCTCAGTTCCAATGAGATAAAGTGAAATGAACATCTTTCAGAACTTCTATGTTCTCACATTCAGGATGAAAAGCAATTTTCTATCATAATGGAGAGTTTTATTAAAATACAGTACCTGGAAGGAGAGATAAACTATACCTCAGTGCCACGGAATAAAGCCCATAAACCTATCCAGCTCACCACCATCACCACCCCTTGAATCTTATCACCCTGACATACAAAATATCATGACATCGGCCCACTCACACTGCACAGCCAATGTGTTCTCACAGTGCTTGGCTCCTTTCAATGTATTTCAAGTCATTTCAAGGGCTTGGATTAGTCCTAATCTAATTCTTCTCTTTTATTATAGTTCCTAAGAGTAAGTGAATAAGATTTTTTCTAGTCCAATTCTTATTTCAATTTGGCTCAAAGAAAATTAATTTTCTTTCTCATAAGATTGCTCCATTTACAGAGTTTTAGGCTTATATCAATACTCAGAACAAACTCTTTGCTTGACAAAGCTGTAGCTTGGAATGTTATCTCAGCAAAGCCCCAGACTTTTAACTTAAAACACAAGCGTGTGCCAATAATAACTTCTTCAGGACAAGTAGATATTTAAATGTAATTCTTCCTCTTAATTTCTGGGAATCACAATCTCCTAGGTGTCAGGGTCATTTCAGACAGAGAAAGTAACAATCTCTGTATGGAATTCCTTAGAGATACATACTATTGAATTATTATTATTTTCAACAAGCCTAACAACAATAAATTATCGTATTTTGAGTAATTACTATGTATTAGACCCTATATTAGGTCTTTTATAAATTACCTCATTTAACCTTGCAACATTCCTATTGGCAAATATTATTATCCTCATTTTATAGATGAGAAGTTAACTTAGGTCACATGGTAAATAAATACAAAGAATTTATGTACTTTAAGTAATTTATTTAATAACTAATCAAGGGCATGGCAAAAATCTGAACCACAATCTCTCTTTCCATAAGATAAATGGGGACCCAATTACCATTCTATTATGGTACCTCAAGAAAGTACAATAAAATCTATGAATCCCTTAGATAGCCCACTGCATTCCAAGATTTCCTCACTGTAGTAATTGATTATTTTCACACTACTGAGTAATTCAGAAGATTTCCCAATCAAACGAGGTCAAGCGTGTTAGTTTGCATTGGAGTTAGAGTCCAGCACAGTCTTGCTTGGGTTTTCAGGACAGTCGAGACAGGTCAAAACCCTGGTGCGTGGTTTCCTTCCATATAAGGCCATGCTAATAAATGGTTGCATACAACCAGACAATGCACCTCCATGAATGTTTCTGCTGCTAAAGCCAAAGCTTTCAGAAAGTCTCACACATAGGTGGTAGACACAGGGGAAACTTCAGATGCTAAAGATCAAAGAAATGTGAGAATCGTTCAACACCTACATTTCGGATGCCTATAGCATCCGAAACAGCACACCACTCCGATTGCTTACAGATTTGCACTGGCTCCCGCCCAACCAGGGCTCTTCTATTCGGCCAACTCTGTATTGGAAATGACTGTCTTGCTTTGGTATTTGATGGTCAATTTCATGTTATTTCAGCAATGCTTGAAGAAATTCTCCTGGACAATTTGTAGAAACCCTGGCTGCAGCTCATTCCACCGTCGTCAGTAAGAAGAAGTGCCAGCAGCACAGGTTTGGGCCTTACCAAATGGAATCTCGTTTCTGATCCCCAAATATTGGAAAGTATTTGAATTTCCCAAGCTTGGATGCCCAACTGTATTAAATCACCACCACTTTCACCCCCAAAAGACAAGCCTCATTGCTTTGATCCCAGAGCCCTGATTACCTTACTTCCTTTCCAGGAAAGAACTGCCAGATTTAACTACATAAGAAAAAGAACACAGCATTTTGAACCCCAGCACCTGGGCTGTACAGCCATGGACTTTGCAGGAGTCACTCACCTTCTCTGGTCCTGAATGCTTTTCATCTGTAAAATGAGGAACTGGGGAATCCTTAATTTCTCTTCCAGTTCTAAAACCATGTTCTAAAATCATGATTCTATGATCTACTGTTTGACAGCCCATTTTCTCAAAGTGATTATCAACTACAGAAATCAGTTATTTTCCAAAAACTTCATTCTCAAGGGGACATTATGTGCAAAGTTATCCTTTAGGAAATGAACATTCTCACCCAAGCTTCATCACATATCAATCAGCCTTGCATATCCACAATTTAAAAAAGCTTATTCTGAAATAACTGTGCAAATTAACCATTTTATTGGCTTATACCTAACCCAGTCTAAAGTGGAAGTAAACTATTATTTATGTAGTATATTTATTTTACAGAATAATCTTTAAAACTATACTGTAACATACATACAAAACTTAATTTCCAATAAACCTGCAAAGAGTGTCACAGGAGAAAGTTCTGAAGGATCTAAAATCTACAGTCTTCCACCTGTTAAATTCAAAGAAAGTGCAGACAGGCTAAATCACTTGCTGGATGTTCAATAGGTACTTTAGGAAGAATTAAAGCTATAAAATAGGAGATCTGGTATCCTTCTGCCATGGAGATAAACCATGTTATTCTAAGGTACTGTACAATTATGCCCTTCTAGGAGTAAGGGAGAATGTAATAAAGTTGTACTTGCTAGAGGCAAGCCGCATGAAAAACTCTTAGAAATGCTTAGCGTTGAGAGCCCCCAAATTTTACTTTCTGGTGTGGATTTACACTCCCGGTCCTAAAGCTTTGGGGATGCAGGACAAAGAGACTCAGAACAACTAAGTGCAATGAGGGGTGTAAGAGGACATCACTCCCGCTTCTCTTCCCTTCTGGAACTGAAGGAAGGACAATGAAGCTGCTTCAACTAACGAGCTCGGAGAACTCCAGTGACGGCTAAAAGATCCTCCAGTATCTCAGAGTTCATTACTTGTTGGGAGTTCCTGATGTGCCAGGAATGGTTACGCACCCAAGAGACCAAGCACTATCACTGCATCCAAGCAAAGAATTTTAGGATTGTTATAAATAGCCCAAATCAAAAACTGTTCTGCTTCTACTGATAATTGTACAGTGAGCAATTCAAATACCAACAAATGTTCCACCCATATAAACCTCAGTCTCTTAACTTTTAATGATCAGCAAGGAAGCTTAATTCTTTGGATATGATTCAGTCACTTTGTAAAGTGTCCAAAAGCCTTAAAGCTAAAATGTTAAATAGGCACACTTACCCAATATGGTTGGTTCTTAAAGAAATTTCCAGTTCTCTTAGCACTTGTGTGGATTCCTGAACACGCCGTCTGAATTTCTAGAATTCAAGAACACATATTCTCACAAAACATATTTTATCAACTTCTATAAGTGCCATTTGTAATGTTTACCCCAGTATGAAAATATCTCTGCTTTTAAAGTGGGCTTCTCTCTAAGTGAAATAAGCCAATCAGAGAAAGACAATTATCCTATGATCTTGCGGATATGTGGAATTTAAGAAACAAAACAGAGGATCATAGGGGAAGAGAGGAAAAAATAAAACAAGACAGAATCACAGAGGGAGACAAACCATAAGAGACTCTTAATCATAGGAAACAAACTGAGGGTTGCTGGAGGGGAGGGGATGGAGGAATGGGGTAACCGGTGCTGGACATTAAGGAGGGCATATGATATAATGAGCACTGGAAGTTATAGAAGACTGATGAATCACTGAACTCTACCTCTGAAACCAACAATACATTATAAGTTAATTAACTGAATTTAAATTTAAAATGTTAAAGTGGCCTTCTCTCACCTTTCTTTTTGCAAAGGACACAAATTGTTCTTATCATGAAAATCAGCTTCTAAGAAAGGACTGGGAAAAATTTATTTCATGTACTAGGTGTCTTTGAGTAAGTAGACTATTTCTCCCTGCCCTACAACAATATTCACCAATATGCCTAAGTACTGGGGTCCCTAAGACTCCCCCGGTCCCAGTTTCAATGATTTGCTAAGACTTCCTCCTAGGACTTGGCATACAGTTGTTGTTATGGCTAAGATTTATTACAGCAAAAATACACAAGGCACAATCAACAAAGGGAAAGGTGCACGGGGTGAAGTCTGGAAGAAACCAGATACAAGCTTGCAATAGTCTCCTTTCTTAGAAGCTGATTTTCATGATAAGAACAATTTGTGTCCTTTGCAAGAGGAATCACAAACGATAGTGTCTGTGAAATGCTTTCCACCAGGGAAGCTCATTAGAGACTCAGTGCCCTGGGTTTTTACTGGGGACTGGTCATTTTGGCATTCTCTGCCTAGCACATACCAGAAGTCCAGACTCCCTGCAAGCAAAAAGGCATTTAGCACACACCATATCGTTGGCACAGTGAATCACTCTTATCAGGGAAAGGTATGAACTCTCCTGAAATGCAAGTTCTCAGTTGCCAACGAAGAGCCACCCCGGCAAGCTGGCCTTTCTAAGGTAGCCATCTCAGGACTGCTATGTTAATTATTTTCTGCAGAACCATGTTAACATTTCCCAAAAATAAGCATTCAGAGTTACCTCTGCCCATGAGCCCTTATTTGGAAGGTCCCTCCTACTTTCAGAATGCCCTTCCTCATTCTCTGGCCCATCAAAATCCCACCAATCCTTCCAGAACTCCCTCAGGGCTTTCTTTCTTCAACGAATCCCCCTCTGGCAGTAAATGTATGCTTCTCTATCCTCTCAACTCTAAATGACCCCCACGTATCACTGGGTCATGATGCACATCGGTTCTCAGGAACACCATTTCTTCCAGAAACATTTATTTATAGTAACTGAAGTTTTAGGCCACTCTGGAAGTGGGACGTTTGATGGGCCATGCCTTCTAAGAAGAGTTCTACGCTCTCTGTGCTACAAAATCAAACCACCTGCATTTTACACGGTCTCCAAGAAAAGGCCATGAGAATTCCAGCTCAGGATATTAGGGACCCTTCTCCTCTGCTGCCACAATTGCAGTGGAAATGGAGTCATCCAGGTCCCAAAGGTGAAGGCATCCAAGGACAGGAAGGAATGGAGGAAGGCGGGGAAGGCAGGATGTGGGGTGTGGAGAGCCAGGCAGGCCCTGGTGTCCCAGTGAAGACTGGAACCCTGCTCAGCATGGGCGGCCTCCTGTCATCCTCTCCCCCCCGCCCCCCGCAAACTGCCCCTAACCAAGGCCCCAGGGAAGCCAACAGAGTCCCAGTTTCCCCCTGGTTGCCATTCTTAAGGAACTCCAAAGACTTTCTCGGTTGTTAGAATCCAGGTAGCCACATATGTGAAATTAAAGCATCCCCAATGCAAGGAAAAAAGAGCCACTACCCTCTTTTGTCAAGAAAGGAGGGGGTGGGAGGATGGGTTAGCCTGGTGATGGGTATTAAAGAGGGCATGTTCTGCATGGAGCACTGGGTGTTATATGCAAACAATGAATCATGGAGCACTACATCAAAAACTAATGATTTATTGTATGGTGATTAACATAATAATAAAAAATAAATTAAAAAAAAAAGAAGAAAAGAAAGGCCTAAGAAATGACAGAAGAGTCGTGTATACTTTGGAGGGACATCCGAGCCCAGTGTTTCCCGAAGAGCTTTCCAGCAATGAGCACTGCTGATGAGGCAGAGTCTGGCCACACAACTGCTCCAGGGAGGCCGTTCCCATGTCGGAGTCACCGGTCTGGGACTGCCTGCCACTGTGACCTTTAGAAAGCAGCTCAGTGTTCCCAGCTACGCCTCATACACAGTTCTGACTGGTTCCCAGTGGCCTTCAAGGGTCCTTAGAGGAAGGTCATCACGAGCCACAAAAGCACCCAGCATAGCACTGAAGGACGCAACACGGTACAGAGGAAGGATCTGCTGAAGGACTAAGAGGCATATATCAAAATGGGGGACCTCGATCAAAACACTAGGTGATACCAAGAATGACACCAGGAGCAGAGAACATTTCTTGGGAGTCACTACACTTTTGCAGCTGCGAGATAACAGATAAAACCACACTGACTCTGCCCCTGTCTGATGTTCTCTCAGGAACTGTGCAATCTCCAGCGGGACTCGGAGCTATAAAGAAGCCTTGGCATCCACCTCGCTAACACATAAACAATGACTGCTAATGCTCTGCACTCCGGCAACGTATTCAGCATGCTTCGAAACCCTGCAAAGACAAATCACGTGCCTGTGGGGAGCCACGACAAAGGAGCAGGTACCATCAGCGAGCCGTGTGCACCATTCCCCAGGCCCCGTCCCATAAAAGGCAGGATCCACGCGATAGGTTTCATTTCACAACTGCACTGCCTGCAGAGAACCCCCCTCCTTTCTTCACAGTCTGTACGTAGCCTTTTTCCTGGGCACATCCCCCCAGATCAGAGACTAGCACCACCTGGTATGCAATGAGGAGACTGCTTTGAAGAGTCCTGCTCACAGAGATATCTAATTTAGGCTCTTCCGTGCCTGCCCTCCAGGGGTTCAGATCTAAAACTATTTAGAAGAAAATCTAAATCGAATAAGCTTATGAAATTTTTTTTAGACGACAGCAAATTAAATGTCATCTATTCGACGTGTACAAAAGATAAATGAGTGAAAAGTGTTCGAGGACTCCAGACACAGTGAAGGGAAGATGACTCAGCCTAGACCGGCTAAAATTGAAAGCCCGGATTTGAAATCTTCCCTCTTCCCGGCCGCGGTATAACTGAGAATCTGAAACTCATTCTAATTGCAAGCGCTGCCTCACTCCAAGCAAAATTTCCTTTCTCTAGGCTTCAGTCGAACAGATCATTTCCTATTTTCCTATTGCCAGCTCCGGACAAAAATCTTACTACAGCAGAGGTGGTTGCTCCAACATCCTTTTTTTTTCCTCTTCTCGACGCAACAACTGACTTGAAAAACAAGGCAGGGACCGAACGAGGCCACTCAGAGGAACACACGCAGTCTGGGGCTGAGAGTTCACAAGGGAAGGTCAGCCCAAACAGATATCCTTGTCTTCTCCTCTGCTGCCATAATTGCAGTGGATATTTATTAAGTTATTTGCAATGGAGCAAAGCTAAGCAGCTTATTTGTTTTACATCCTTTGCTTCACCAAGGAATAACTGTTCCAGAAGAGAACCGGAACTGTGCCAGGAGAAAGCCTCCTGTTCCGTCCAAGCATCTCCTCCTTACCGCACTTGGGGAAGGCCTCTGAGAAGCCTTCTCGGGGAGTTCTCTTATTCTCTCCTTTCTCCTAAGAGTCTGATGAATAGGGAGAGAACTGTGTGTGGAGGAACGCTCAGTCTGCGCACAAACACCGGCACTTCGACCGCACTCTGCTGCAGACGAGAGTGCCCAAGCCTGGGATCCAAGCGGTCCAGCCCGAGGGTTTCAAGTTGGGGGGATTTCTGAAAATATTTCTCAAGTAGAATCTTGCTGCTCCTTTAAAAACAAACAGCCCCCAAAACCTCCTGGTTTGTTCTGAGTTGTGTTTGGGCCGGGGGCGTGGGGGGGGGTGTCTTCATTTAACCCTCTGTAACCTGATGAAATTGAAGGCTGCCCTATCCTTGGGGAAGGAGACAAGAAAGAGGTAAGAATTGGGCAGCTGTCTCATTTAAGGGAACGGACAGAAGCTCTTTAAAGAAAAGAAACACGTGTGAGCAATATTTGTGAGGGGGCTATCATGATACTTCGACAGGTACATTCTTAGAAGAGGCTGCACCACAGTCAGGTCACATGTGTGAGGCCGACGGCCAAGTCTACAGCACACTGTCACCATCATCCCAGATGGTATTTCTTCTGCCTGTCTCGTGTTAGGCACAGGAGAAAAGGCCAAGAAACTTCCAAAAGGAAGGAATAGCTGTTCTCATTTGCTTGCTTTTTTTTTTAGATAGGGGGCAGGGAGGCGGGGGTGGGGGGCAGAGAGGAATATTTAGAGTAGAAGTAGAAGATAAAGATTTTTTAAAAAATTTACAAGAGCCCTGGAGACACTGGGAAACTAGGAAAAGTGCATCTTTCTTCTCTCATGAGTCACACCCTGAAACAACAGGAGGAATTCAGCTCCAGTTATTTTTGCTGCAGCCTTGAAAGCAGGAGTTGTGGAAGGTCAACCCCAAAACAAGTGCTCTCTGGTGAAGGGCGCCCGTCCCCATCCTGAGCAAGGACAGCCCGGAGCTGAGACATCCCAGGACCGATCCCAGCCCGCAGGGCTGTGCCAGGCTACATGCTTTACCCCAAGGCATCGGTTTAAACCAATTGTGTGGCTGCACAAAGCACAGCTTGTTTGCAAAAGGAGAGAGTCAGTTGAGAATGGAATCAACTATTCTCTCCTTACCTTCTTGGGGCCAGGGGCAGGGTGAGGCCGGGGCGGGGGGGGGGGGGGAGCTGCTAAGAGCATCAACACAGGATGTGAGTGCACAGCTGGGATGACAAAGCCCCAGTGATTTTTCAAGGCCTCTGGAAACGCACCAAGGCATGAAAGACAAGTATTCCCTTTGCTAAGGCTGCTTTTTCCAGGGGCCTGAACACCTCTGGGCTGGACTCACTGCCCTGTGTAACTGCAAATGGCAGTGACTCACTAACCATCAGAGGTACGTGACACCCGTCTTGGGAAAGCACTTTCAAACACATCCTTACACGAGAAGGATGGCTTTCTTCTTTGTTTTCTCATGGTGTCTGTCTCCCAAGACTGGTTTCCTGGAGGCTCCAGCAGAGGCTATAGTGCAGAGGAAGGAAGGTCCCCTCCAGTGCACACTCAGGAGGAAGTGACAACAAAGAGTGAAAACAAATCCATCTTACCTTCCTGGTTACAGCTGGATCCAGATAGCCTTTGAGCTTTTGAATGTACGTATGAGGAGGATTCTTCACCTGGAATCGTTCCTGCAGGAAGCACAAAATTAAAACGCATGAAAGCTATGAAAGCATGAGCGTTGGCCACACCTGACCCAGGGCTGACATGCTTCCACAGCAAGAGTGTGGCCCTGCAGATAATCTTTATGTATCTGCAGGACTTGTGAATGGTTTTAATCTTTATAGTGAATGTTATTATCCTTGCTTTGCAGAGGAGAAAAGCGAAGCTCCAAGAAATTCACTACTTCCCTAAGACACAGCTAGTCAGTGGTACAAATGGATCTGAGCCTGCGTCTGCCCTACTCTGTGGTCTGTCCCACCATGTCTGTGGGGCTCTGCGGCCCTCATTCCAGAACAATGCTCTACCCAACCCGCATCCGCGGCCCCCTTCAGCAGGTCCTCAGTCCCCTGCATACTCTTTGGGTTGTCTTCAATGTGGGCAAATCCTTTTCTTTTGAATATTATTCTTCGAAAATACTGAAACCTTGACTCAACTGGAAAAAAACCATTTGTTTCAAAAATGAGTAATGAGTCTAGGCGTGTGCCTATCTGTATGAGAGCAGGTACAGGTATGTGATCATTAATGGGTCCTGAGGCTGTTCCCAGTTAGAAGACCCAGAAGTATTTTTAGCAAAGGCACAGTAACTGAAATAAACATATAAAGATAGAATATACATCCCAAGGTGGTATTTGAATGTAAACCTGGGATGGGACCTGACAATCTGCATCACTAACAAGTCTTACACTGAGGCTGTGCACGGAGGCACCACACTTCGAGAAACTCATGCCCATGTGTATCAGGTTTTATAGACTATAATGTCCAAAGCAGCAGAATAAGCAGTAGTAAAAAAACTGGGTAAAACCCAAATGCCCACAAACCAGAAAATGGATAAGTGCTCATACTATGTTCATATAATGGTATACTATATTCCAATGAAAATGAACAAGATGCACTGCCGGCTTCTATGTGGATGGATCTTATAAACCTGATGTTGAGCCAAATAGAATGTGATTTCATTTCTATGGATTCACAAGACAGGCAAATTAAACTTTAATGGTAGGGACACATACATAAGCCATTTTATTTATTGACACATACATCTAGGGAGTGGGGGAAGAGAGGATTATCATTAAAACAACAGAGGACTGAAGTGGGGGAAGGGAAATGCCCAGTGATCCCAAGAGGCCACAAGGTTCTATTTCTTCATCCACAAGGTGGTTACCCAGGCACTGGCTTTATCCTACTCATTATGTTCTTCTTAGGTTTCACAACTGTTTCTGGACCTATGCTACATTTCACACACACATACAAGTTTAAATGAATCTGCTCTAAAAGGAAAAAACTAAGATTTGTCATGAGATCAAAACCATTCTTATCAGGGTCTCTTCTATGCTTTTCTAGTAATTCTTTTGAACCTGATTATTGCTTATGCCACAAGGGAGTCTTTGAGTATTTCACAATATTGACAACTGGTCAGCATGTTTAAGTACGTGTTTATCCTCTACAAACTTGTATTTCTCCAACACAGGGAACCACAGCATCTTCCTGGTCCACTCAGGTCTTGCTTGCTTACAAATTTAGAAAGGCCAAAAGATCATCTATTATCAAAAAGATCATCTTATTAGTGAAAACATACGCTTTGTTGTTTAAAATGCTTTAACATAGAAGGGACTTATAGTGAGACGCCTGTCTATATTTCCCCTTTAGTTAAAAATGATGAGGAATTTCATAGTTTATAAACCAAATCTCAACAGAGCTGTTAACAAAAAAGATCAGCCTATTATTTTTAATTTTTTAAAAAATTTTATTTATTTGAGAGGAGAGAGAGAGAGCATGAGCAGGGAAGAGGGAGAGGAAGCAGCAGGGTCTCCACTGAGCAGGGAGCCTGACTCGTAGAGATCCCAGGACCCTGGGATCATGACCTGAGCCGAAGGCAGAAGTTTAACTGACTGAGGCACCCATGTGCCCCAGCATATTATTTCTAATTATTCCTCCAAATTTTGCAAGCAATTTCTTTTTTTTTAAGATTTATTTATTTTGAGAGAGTGAGAATGAGAGAAAGAGAGAGAGAGTACATGAGAGCTGGGAGGGTTAGAGGGAGAAGCAGGCCCCTTGCCGAGCAGGGAGCCTGGTGCGGGACTCGATCCCGGGACTCCAGGATCATGACCTGAGCGGAAGGCAGTTGCTTAACCAACTGAGCCACCCAGGCGCCCCTGCAAGCAATTTCTAAATAACAATTCACAAATATTTGACATCTCTAATGCTACCAAATGGTCTATGTATAAAGCCCCCGCCCACTTTTATTTTAAATCACCATCACTTCAGGATCCAACTGCCACAGGACTTTAGCAATAGCCCAGCTGAAGACTAAAATAATCTTCAAAAACTCCAAAAAATGAACTGATAAGCTACCTAGAAGTCAGTTATTATTTCCAACCTTGCGTATGACAATAGCTATTAGACTATCAAGAAAACCTACACTTTTTAAAAACACAATCCAATTTTCCATATTTAAAATTCCTATGACCAGGGACAACCCAAACCATGCTCCCTTCCATTACAGCAAACACCTCCTACCTCATAAAGGTCCCTAATACATGAAACTCAGTGAATTTTAACTCTGGCTAATATAGTAGTTACTTGAAGACCTAAACTTGAATCTGCGAACAGTTGCTGAAAGACATCTAATGATTGTTGTTTTAGGCAATGTCTTCACAACAGAAGAGCTTATTATAATAACAAAATCTGGGGGCGCCTGGGTGGCTCGGTTGGTTGAGCGTCTAACTCATGAGGTCATGATCTCAGGGTCATGAGATCGAGCCCCACAACAGGCTCCACTCTGGGTGCGAAGCCTGCTTAAGATTCTCTCTCACTCTCCCTCTTCCCCCCCCCAACCACGTGCCCCCACCTCAACAAAATAAAACAATGAAATCTGGTGCCCTAGCACATATAACAGCCTGGAATTCACTCAGTGAATCCCATTTTTGACCATCAAGAAATGCACCTTTCTTCATTTCCTACTCAAGACTGCCGTGACCCAGGGGGCTTTTTCTCAAATATATACATTCATTGGTCCTCTAAGTTTTTCCTTTTAATTATTCCCCTGAAATTACAAAGTCTACACTACAACTAATACATACTTTTTCAAACGTGCTTATCAAAATTTGCTGTTGTTTTAGTCACGTTTTTCACTTGTCTGAATAACTTAATAATGTATTTCCAAAAACAGAACATGAAGAAGCCTGACGCTTCACAACACAGTAAGTCTACATTATATCTACTACTCAGAAAACTGAGCCTAGCCTAAGGTTTTAAATAAAATTGGTATGGAGAAAGAATACAAAAGTTGCTATCATTTCCCTAAGACTTGGGGTTGTTCATCTAATGTCAAAAGGAGCTACTGTTTATAAATTCAATATCTGGCTCATCAAACCTTTTCTTTCTGTGTCTTCAATACGGCCATTTGGACAATAGAAACATTTGGGAGAACACACTGGAGAGTCAGCACCTTGCCAAAACACATTCACTTTGAGGGACTTTGGAAGGATTACTGGCATCATATTTATTTAAATTAACTTTTTTTTTCTCTAACTATTAGAATTTTAGATTTTGCACTGAAACCCATAAACGCCTTGGCTGGCAGTTTTCCATCATCCTCACTTCCAGATCTGCTGCATCTCACAAGCTATTTTCAATAACTAGTTATGTGCTTGCTCAACATCATTGACGTGAGTAGCTTAATTAAATGAAGTCCTCAACTTGAGTCCCACCATACAGAACTATTCTTAGGGATAAAAAAATATTCTCTAATCATGGTGACTTGTCAATGTGAATTGATGTCATTTGGAAGAACTTTTGAAATACAAATTTCCTTCTAAACATGTCATCATACAGCATCCCATCACCCTGCCCTCCTGCCATTTAGCTCTTTTAAAAAAAATTTTTTTAAAGATTTTATTTATTTATTTTTGAGAGAGAGAGAGAGAGACAGACGGGGAGGGGGAAGAGCAAACATGAGTGGGGGGTAGGGGCGGAGGGAGCAGCAGACTCCCCACTGAGCCAAGAGCCTGATTCGGAACTCGATCCCAGGACCCTGGGATCATGACCTGAACTGAAGGCAGACGCTTAACTGACTGAGCCACCCAGATGCCCCTGCCATTTATCTCTTTGTGTGATCAAACTTTCCTCATGAAATGTTTCTGGATGGGAAATGACAAGTGCTCTGGGGTGTTCAATCCTTCTCCATAAGCATTCAACGCAAAGAGCCCAAAGTTATTTCTTCACCTTCAGGGCACTAGCCCACAGACTGCACTGGGTTAGGTGTGGGAGGGAACAAACCCAGGATCACAGACCCTTTTTCCCCCAAGGAAAGGCAGAGAGCCACACATGCAGCACCTCATTTGGAGGTATCTGTAGTCTTGGAAGCTTGACCACCCTACATTCTCCTACACATGGATCCTGAGAGCTTGTTTGGAGGCTATGGCAACGGTGTGCAGCTACTACACACCCCTGATGGAAGAAAGGTACTCCTCTATCAGGGAAGGTCCTCCTCTTAGACCAAGAGTGCAACTTACAGGGGAACACACAAGGTGTGGTAAGGGATCAATGGGGTGACATGGTGCAGGCAGGTCACCCTCCCATCTGATAATCATAGAATCTTTATTAAGCTGCAGTGTCAATTGCCAGTATTTCATTTTAATGAATTAGACTCTTAGAAATCAATTTCTCTAGTAATGATCTGAAAATTTCTTCTCACTGCTAAAAACGACTTCATTAATGCCAGCCCAAGAACACAATCACCTTTTCATTCAGGGCAGCACTTTTGGTTTTTCAAGCATTATTCACTTACCTTTGAGTGACATTTTACAGTTTACCATATTCTCTAGACCTCTTTTTTTTTTTTTTTAAGATTTTATTTATTTTATTTGACAGAGAGAGAGAGACAGCAAGATAGGGAACACAAGCAGGGGGAGTGGGAGAAAGAGAAGCAGGCTTCCCACTGAGCAGGGAGCCTGATGCGGGCGGGGCT